CCTCAACATATCATGATACCTTTACTTCTTCATCTCCTTGTCCACCGCATACTGTAGAACCAACAAAGCCCTCTCTCGAAACCTGGCAGTGATCTCTGCCACAATCTCGGTAGTCTGACGAAGGTCCTGAAACTCTGTCGCCAGCTGCTGCACCTCTATCGTTGGTGCAAACTCTTCCTGGAATCTCTTGAAAAACTCATCCCAAGACATGGCCACCACGGTCGCATATCCTAATGCACTTCTAATCTCCTCCCACCAATCATGTGCTTGGTCCCTCAAAAGACAAGATACAAATCCTACCTTCGCCCCCTCGGGGCAGAAACTCGTCCGCTGAGAATTCTCCATGTCGACGATCCATCAGTAGTTAGCAATGGGGTCCTTAGCCCTAAAGAACTTTGGAGCTCACAAGCCTTGAACTCCCGAAAAGAGGTAGCTTGCGCTCCGAATTGTCCTGCCGCGATCACGGCCCGAAAGACCCCGAGTCGCTCATCTAGCAACTCCATAATCCTAGTATGGTATGCGTCCTGGCGCTTCTCCATAATCTCCATGATCCCTTCCTTGACCGTACCGAAAATCACAGGATTCTGCTCCAAAATATAGCGGGCGATCTCTGACGAAATGAATTCCCGCATCCGCTCATCCATTAACTCAGTGCCAACACCTGCGCCTAAACCAGATCCTCCTGCACGAGTGCTCATCAGCATTCTGAAAAGCAACCAAACAATAATAAGATCATACCCATAGAATTCTTCATCCTACAAGCTCCCTAGAATCTCTGTGACTATCCTTGGCTCGAGTATGGATCCTGTGCTTTCAGTAGTACGGTCCCAATACTACCTTCCACACCTATCCATACTTTCCTCAAGTACTATCCCGGATCTTCCAAGTCACCATATTGAACTGATATTCTAAATACCTGCTAAACAGTGCAACCAAACCCACTAATTCACTTCCTAGGATCTCCTAGGTTTCCGATCTCACCCTGCCATCAGCTGCTGAAGAACTCCCACTAATGTTAGTTAACTTACTTCATGAATACAATCACATGCAACAAATCTTAGATAACCCTTCGAGTAAAAGACCTAACCCTACAACGGCCAGACTCAAACGAGAGCTGCACAATAAAGTCAAATCCATCACTCTGAGATTATTTAACCTTTGCAGCATGTGACTTAACATATTCACTAAATAGTTAACTCACATCATCAAGAGTCCCACAAAGCACAAAGCAAGCAGCATTCATGCAGTAACACTCCATGCCATAAACCAATCAAAGGACATCTCAATCTCACTTGCTACTACCATGCTAGGAACTTTTACTCTCACTGTCGGTTGCCTTATGCATGCAAATTATACACAATACAGGATCAGATAGACTGTCGAATAAGAGACACTATCCTAGGACCAAAACCAGACGTGGAACAAGAATTAAGGCTAAATCAGTCATTTTAGGGCTATATGATCCTAATCGTAAACAATTTTTAAAGCATACACTTAGCAATAGTTCATATCAATACAAATTCAAAATCTAGCATAACATCCAATTCCTCCTAGGCTACAAGGCATCACATATATCAGGCTAATCTATCATGCAATTCTTGTAACTATCCTTAGCATCATCCTAGCATGAAAGCATTCATAACATATAACATATCAACATGTATGGGTATTTTGGGAATCGATTACTTGAGCTCGGATGATTGCACGCATCACACCCCTTCTTCTTCATAAAAATCTTTTAGAAAACTTATTTTCTTTTAAAAGATTACCAATTCCTCAGTTTGAGTTCAGACACACCCGAGAGTGTGCCCAAATCCCTCAAACCAAGGCTCTGATACCAACTTGTAACATCCCAAAAATTATAAGATAAAATTTTCATTTTTAATTCAACACATAAACACCATTTATTCTTATCAACCATTCGAAGATATGTCAGAGTAAAAATAGTTATCAGAGTACAATCCCAAAATCATAAAGTGCGGAAACATGGGTGGATGCACTACGATCAAGCCGGACCCTTCCCTTTCGAACTGGAAGTACATGAAACCATAACCATAAAACTGTAAGCACAAAGCTTAGTGAGTTCCCCAAAATACCACACACCATACATATCCTTGGGCCTAGCCCTCATATTGGGCCCAACCCATAATAATGGGCCTAGCCCTTCCTAATCAATGAGCCTAGCCCAACATAAAAATTGGCCTAGCCCGTCATACGAAATGGGCCTAGCCAGTCATACGAATGGGCCTAGCCCAGAATACCATGGGCGTAACCAACATACAATGCAAGAGTCACAAAAACAGTGAGCATACAACATATTCTAATGGGCCGACATTGGTGCCTTCGACCCATGGGTACAGTGAGGAGACTCACCTCAATCCGAGATAACTGAAACACACACGCATTGCTGCTACTGGGATCCTCACACTGAACACATCTAAAATATTCCTAATCAATGCTTAATAAAACTTCCATAATCGAAGGTCCGATTCATATTCTATCATACCAATGGGTAAAAGACTAATTTACCCTTCCTATACTTGGCCCAACAAAGCAAGGCCCAAACCCAAAATGACTCAAGGCCCAAAAATGAACCAAGAGACATTCAGGTGCGTACACCCCGTGTACCAACCTGGTACACCCATCGTACGACGCTGAGGCCCAAAGATAACTCCAAACCTCTTAATGCCTTATGACGACATGCAAAACTTCCAGATTTGATTCTTATGGGACGTCCTAAGTCATCAAGTTCCTGACTTTATGACTTTGCATGGCTTAATGGTGTCCAAACCAAAGCCCTAAATTCTTACTTTATCAAAAGACCACCAACTCATGCATGGAAGGATTATACTCATCAAGATCTAATTTTTATAGCTTAATGGCCTCACAAATGACTAAAAATAGGCTCAAAGGTTCTGGGGTAGCTTCTACTCACAAGATCTAAACCATGCGACCAAAACATGCTCATATCATGACCTAAGGCTAGATCTACATCAAATAGTCATCAAGTTTGAAACTTCATACCTCCAGAAGATAGATCAAGGTGAACAATGCCTGGATCTACAAGCTCCAAGACAACCAACACTTCTCCAATGAGTTCATTCTTCTCCAAGGTACACCAAAAACACTCCAAAACATACAAAAGGCTCAAAATCTTCACAATAGGGCTAGGGTTTTGAGATAATTGCTTTAGGGAGATGGATGCTGAATATAGAGAGAGTTTCCAGAAGTTAAGTATCTTAAATAGGGCTCAAAGGCTCAATATTAGGGTTTGAGTTTGGGCCACGTACGCCCAGCGTACTCCTAGTACACCCAGTGTACCAGATTGCCCTCCATGATTACTCCTACCCAGTACGTCCAATGTACACCCTGTACGCCAAGCGTACTCGGCTCAACCCAAAATCTTCATAACTTCTAACGGTCGCAACTTCCGCGTCCCTAATCCGTTTTCGGCGTTCTTTATATGCTCGGAAAGGTAATGAGAAACCCTACAATCTCATCTAATCTCCTTCAACTTAAAATCATCCAAAATTAAATCCTAAATTCCATAAAAGGCCTGAAGCATCACTTTTACCATTATACCCTTGAAGTCCCGGGCCCTAACTTGATCCATTAATGTCCATAAATCCCCAAATAGGAAGCTTCTCGAAACCGGATGTTACACTACAAGTCAAATATGGGTTTAAGATTTGAGTGATTTGGTTATTAATACGCATACCTAAGATCAAAATAAGACAAACACAAAGAATTAAGTAAGTCAGACATAAAAATATATTATAGTGATGATGCATATGGTTAGAGTCTACCTAGGATGAGGGTAGAGCTTTTGTGTATCGATGTGGGACTACCTAGCAATTTCGTCGTAAATATCCATGGAAAGGGTTCACAAGGCATTGCCTAGTTATCCGAGGGTAATGATCAAGTGAATGAAAGCTCAACACTAGCTAGTGTTCCGAGATTGTGTCTGTGCTCTGATAACACGACTAACTATCAAGTAAACTAAGGATAGTTCTCATAGGAAAACAAAATGGATGGTGGCTATCTAGTGATCCGAGGATAGTTCATTTGGAAAGTAATATGGGGACATGTTTGAATGTATAAGTGGATGAGTAGTGAAAATTGATGGCTATGTTGATATGTCATTTTCTTTAGTAGGATGATCTTGTTGTTGGTATATGTTATGTTGTTTTGGATATGTATGGGGAATGTTATGTTACTCATTAAGTTTGGTAGGTTAATATGATGTAAATTACTAGTGTAGGTACAAGCAACAAGGGAAAAGAAGTGGCTTAGGTGCCATATTGAGACTTAGTTTGATATATTTTATATTAAAAAAACACTATATTTATTTTTTTCAACCTTCTCATTTTTTCAAAAAAGAATTATCAGTTATCTCTCAGTTTTCAAATTTTAACACATACCGTACAAATGCCAAATGGATTCATCATCTTTATCATCAAGTTCAGACTCAACATATTCACTTTCATCTTCATCATCAAGTTTCGAAGCCACGTCTTCATCTAATACATATGCGTGTAACACTCACATTTTGTCATCAGATGCTGCGTCTTCATCTAATGTACTATACACTTGCATTATATTACACAATATGATTTTAAAAAATGAATGTCTAGCGATATGTATGTCGTTTTGATGTTATTTATCTAGTTGTATTTTTTTATTTTTATTTTTGATTAACCTTTTAGATTTAATGTATTCTCTTAGTCTTTTAAATAATCTAATAAAAAAAGGTGTAAGATAGATATGTGACAGAAAGATGACAATTTTATTTAATAAGGCAAAGCCATAGAGGGCATGACCTAGCCTAACGACTGTAGACACAAGACCAGACTCAATACAACATATAAAACAAAACAAAGAAACAACCACACGTTTATTTATTCCGGGGGCGATAATGATATGATATGTACACCATTCACACCACGTCATAGCTCCTCCATTATTTATTATTCATGTCCAGCAACCTCTAAACCACCACCTCAAGGAATGCTGCACCATTAAAGAAATCCAGTCACAAAATTATTCTTACATTAACAATCAAACCGATTAAACAAACATTCCACACAAGTATACAAACTCTCACCTGTTACAGTCGACGTTTGGGTTGATGGGAATGGAGGTGGAGATACCACACTTACCCGGCAGATTAGAGGCGGTATCCTGTCTAACTTTGAACTGTCCGGCGGCGCTTTTGGCACAATTGCAAGCTGTTCGCCTGTCAGCTTGGCTGTGAGTGGCACCCTGAACCTTCCTGGCGCCATCACAACATTGCTTCGTTGGTGAACCTCCTGATTGCAGGTACCCTAAACATGGGCTGATCATGTTAGCAAGGTCACCGCAACTAATGGCTTCAGTGTGGTGCACCATGAGTAGAGCCATGGCTATCATTGCCAACATTGCTACAGTTGCTCCTTTCATATTTGCTCTTGTGCTTTGTGTGTTGTGTTGTTTTTTGTTGGTGATGGGGTGGGGTAGGCTGTGATCAGGTGGGTGATTTATAGTACGAGGTAATCAGTGATGTTGGGGATATTGGATGTCATCTTTGTAGGTGTATTTGGGCACGTAGGAAGTAAATATGACAAGTGTCTTTAGACTTAAATGTTCATCAAGTTTGGTTTCTAAAAGTAGCAAGTTTGATTCGACTAGACGATATACCTTTGAACTCAGTTTTCATCAATCATCAAATTGCTTGATTTTCTTAGATCAACGTATTCATGGTGGTTGTGACGATCATAAATTAAATGTGGTAAAATAATCGAGTTAAAACTTAATTAAAACTAGGCTTTGTAAATTAAAATTCGGTTTGGAGCCCAAAACCAAGTACGAAAGGCATTGGAACAGGCTATATTGGGTCTCGTTCTTAGTCATATATATTGTTATTAAAAATACAGGTTGTCGTTTATAGAGTTTTTTAAAAATTGGGTTTCGGTTCTTTTAAAAACTGTTTGAAAATCAAAATCGAATTTATTTTAATTAAAAACTTAAAATATACTAAATTTCAAATATTATAGATATTATATTTTCAAAATAGAAAATCCGAAGTTTATATTCGCTTCACTGGCTTGTTTTAAACCAAAGCAACCCTAAACTATAATTTAAGCAGTCTCATGTGAGATAAGAATGGTTTATGGTGATCATACTATTTAGTATTATTTGTTTTCAGTCTAGTTTCGGCCAAACTTAACATATACTAAATTTCAAATGTTATAGTTGATTATATTTTCAAAATAGAAAATCCCAAGTTTATATTCGCTTAAACGGTCTCATGTGAAATAAGAATGGTTTATGGTGATCATACTATTTAGTATTATTTGTTTTTTGTCGAGTTTCGGCCAAACTAGTCCATATGCACACTTGTAAGTATACATATAATGACAAGTGTCTTTAGACTCAAATATTCATCGAATTTGGTTTCTAAAAGTAGCAAGTTTGATCCCACTAAACGATATACCTTTGAAATGACCAGTCTCATCAAATTGCTTGACTTTCTTAGATCACGTATTCATGGTGGTTGTGAAGATCATAAATTAAAGGGAAATTTACATAAAAGTTTATATATTTTTGTTTTATTTTCAAAAAGGACACTCTTAATTTTCTTTTTTTTTATTTTATTATTATTATTATTATTTTCAATTTAACCATTGAAACCGGTACACTTGGAAAATAACTATTGTAACCGGTTAGTACTGGTTTTCAGGGTTAAATTGCAAAAATAATAATAACTAGAAAAGGACACGCGGCTCCGCTGCTTTTGGACTATGTCATAGAAATTAAATATCGGCAAACTTTAAAAGATGTGTCGAAAGTGTAAATCGCCGCAAATAAGGGAGAAAACCGACAGCCCCTAAAATTAGATGTCAAAAATGTAGAACCAAAAGAAAGAACATTGATGGAAAAAAACGAAAATTGTTGTGGCTATAATGTGAAAGTTGCCAAAGTTGGAAAAATATGGTGGCAAAAGTCTAAAGGAGGTTTTTTGTGTTTTTTATGTCAAAATGTAAAAGTTTTGACTGCAATGTTGAAAAGTGTCAAAGTCACTAAAAATTTGTGGCAAATACATCAAAATATAAAAGATTTGACTGCAAGGACGAAAAGTGTCAAACTCACGAAAGATTTGTGACAAAAATCTAAAGGCACAAAAACTTAATCAAAACTTAAAAATGTAAAAGTTTTCACTTCGAGGACTAAAAATGTCAAATTCATCAAACATTTGTGGCAAAAACCTAAAGCAAAAAAGATTACTATTCATAAGGTCCCTTGGATTTAATATATAATAATAATAATAATAATAATAATAAAGCATGACTTTTTCGTTAATAAATTTAAAGTTTAAGGATTTTTGAGATTTTATATTTATATATACTAAATTTATTTGAAGAAAACTTACATTTATATATGAGTAAATTACACGGATGGTCCTTATGGTTTGGGGTAATTTGCGTGTTTGGTCCCTAACTTATTTTTTAACTCGGAAGGTCCCTACTGTTTGTTTTTGTTACGCGCTTGGTCCCTACTATTTGTCTTTGTTACGCGTTTGGTCTATGACTTACCTAAAATGACTATTATTTAAATAGGGAAAATGGTGGGGTAGGTAAGGTAAGGTGAGGGGTGGGGTTGAAGATGTGTTTATTTAAATAAAATAAAAAGTCAAGGGCAAAATAGTCTTTTTAGGTAAGACAGGGACCAAACGCGTAACAAAAACAAACAGTAGGAACCTTCCGAGCTAAAAAAATAAGTTAGGGACCAAACACGCAAATTACCCTAAACCATAGGGACCATTCGTGTAATTTACTCTTTATTTATTAAAAAACTTAAAATAAAGATACCATAGCTACATCCTTTTCACTAAAAAACTCATATATTTTTTTAATTAAAAAGCACAACAACGATAATTTATATATCATTTTTAATTTGGGATTTTTTTATGATTCTCTTTAATAAATATCATTACTATAATCATAAAGATATCATCAAAATACAATTAATAAATAGAGCTCCATTGTATATGTGGTCTAAAACACACTCCTTACGACAAATCAACAAAAGTCATATTAATTTTATTTTGAATGTGTTTTTATAATTATTGTAGTTCTTTTATTAATACAAGAGCTACAATAGTTATAAAAACACATGCTAAATACAATTAAAGAGAATTTTGTTGATTTGTCGTAAGGAGTGTGTTTCTAGGCCACATAATGTGTATAATGAAGCTCTATTTAGGAATAACAGCATCTGTTAAGCTTTTATTTTCTGAAGCGTCGTTAGATTGTAAAATGATGTTCGGTAGGTTGTAGTTTTATGGTAAACTTGACTCACCCAAGACCTAAAAATTCAAAAATGAATTAGCATTTGGCCTAGAAATGCGCTTCTTGCGACAAATCAACAAAGTCATCTTCAATTATATAAGATATAAATGATCTCTTTATGATTATAGTAATAATATTTATTAAAAAGAATCACAAAAAATGAAGCTTTATATAACGAAGCTCTATTTAGGCCTCATATATAATGGAGCTCACAAAAAATATAATGGAGCTCTATTTAGGAACTGTATGTAGATGATATCTTTATGATTGTAGTAATCATATTTATTAAAAAGAATAAAAAAATTTCCAAAAATGATATATAAATTATATTATTGTGTTTTTTAATAAAAAAAGATGAGTTTTTTTAGTGAAAGAGATTTATATGGTATCTTTCTTTTGAGTTTTTTTAATAAATAAATATAAGTTTTCTTCAAATAAATATAATATATATAAAAAAACTCTCCAGAAAAGTCCTTAAACTTTAACCTTATTAATGAAAAAGTCATCCATGATTTTTTATTTTTTATTTTTTGTTTTATTTATTATTATTATTATTATTATTTGTAATTTAACCCTTTAAACCCGTACTGTACAAGGTTTATTTAGCAAGTGTTTACTGTTAAATTGCAAAAAAAATAAAAAAAATTACGGGTGACTTGTTTCACAATAGAGCCAAAATATAGAGACTTTTATGCAGATTTCTCTAAATTTATAATAATCAAGTTAAAACTTAATTAAAACTAGGCTTTGTAAATTAAAATTCGGTTTGGAACCCAAAACCAAGCCAAAAACGCTTTGGAACTGACTATATTGGGTCTCGTTCTCAGTCATATATATTGTTATAAAAAATATTGGTAGTTGGTTATATAGTTTTTAAAAAATTAGGTTTCGGTTCTTTTAAAAACTGTTTGAAAATGAAAACTGAATTGCCTTTTATTAAAAACTAAAAATATACTACATTTCAAATGTTATAGTTGATTATATTTTCAAAATAGAAAATCCAAAGTTTATATTTGCTTCATTGGCTTGTTTAGAATTGAAGAAACTCTAAACTACAATTTAAGCGGTCTCATGTGAGATAAGAATGGTTTATTGTAACAACCCAATTTTTCAAAAGAAAATTTTCATTTTTAATTAGTCAAATCACCTTTCTATAAATATGAAATCCCAATACAATTGTTTTCAAATTCATATCCAAAACAATATTATTTCCAAACATCAGAGTGTCCCATAAAATGCTCGAGAGAGAGTGCACGCAGCACCATCAAGCCTTGTCCTTGCCGTTGGGCTCAGATGTACCTGGAACAAATCCACAAACTGTAAGCTAATGCTTAGTGAGTCCCCCAGAGCATACCCCACACACAATCCACATAACACATATCAAGTTAGCTATAAAAGCTACATATATCACATAAGCCATGCATACAACATATAAGGAAGCCATGGAAACCCTCCAGGGTCTTACACCTAGAGCCACTGGAACCCCCACGTGGTCTTAACTGCATGCCATAGGAACCCCCATAGGTGTCGAACGGGTAAAATTTCGAGTTTCAGGTAGAATGGGTCGTGTAGAACGGGTATTTCCTTAAGAAAATAATACCCGATACCCAACCTATATTGTAATTTGGGTTTTCGGGTTTGAGGTCGGGTCGGGTAATTATCAGGTATACCCGAAAATTTCTTAAATGACACTTATTGATAATTTTTTTTTTTTTTTTTTTTTTTTTTTTTTTTTTTTTTTTAGTTTTACATGTTGGTTGGTTTAATAAAGAATTGGGTAGGAAAATACTCCATACAATTAACAAGTACATATATAATAACAATACAAATCATTATAATATGTTATGTACTTTTTTAATTCCATTCTGTGCGATAGTGAGAAACTGAGAATTGTGATGACGGTTCAGGACTTCAGCTTCAGCGTCGTATTCCCTTTGCAAGTTTTGCGTCGACAGTTGAGCCGTCATTCATAAGAAGGAAACGAAGGGTTTTGTTTTATTTGAAGTGTGCGTCCTGATTGCATTGTATATTTGGTATTATTTAAAAAACGAATTCGGGTATTCGGGTATACCCGAAAATAAATATTCATACCTAAAACCCGACCTATATTAT